ATCAGCGATGAACCACCAGCTCGCTCACCACCTCCTCACATAAAAGATGATGATAAATCCACATTTTTTTTGTCATGAATGATTTTGTCTGCCCCTATTAGAAACAAAGTGTACAGCACAATTAACAGGAATGCACCTCCTGTTTCTACACTACATTGTATTCTCTATGTTTTCATTTATCCCCCTTTCAAATAAAGTACACCGTAATTGCATTACTATAAGACATAGCCACAGAAAAATAACATGACGATAGCGAGTACAACGAAATAATATGCTTATCTTAAAGGCATTTAGATAATGTGAAGGATACGTTTAAAATGGGGCTTACGGCTTATGTACGACACAAAAGCTGAAAGTTGAACGACAAAATTAAATAATACGACGCGCCGACGCGTTACACACATAAGAGCTTATTGTACTCTACATACAAATACACAGCATTAGAAATACGCACATATTTCTAAAACTAATAACAGGCTTTGCGAATCAGTACAAAATAGTGGAACATTGACTATTTTGTAGGTTTATTATTATAAATTAAATTTGACTGTTATACTTGAAAACGCGACTACATTTTCCTAAACTGGCTGTAAATCAAATAGTGTTTTGGTAAATATCAAGAGTGATAGAAGCAAAGTATCGCCTCTTCACATGTCCCCTTACTGAACTCTTTTACTTTTACAGGTTTCCTTACAATCATTTCTTACCCTGAAGAAGTGACACATGAGCATTAAAAGTTGTGCATGTACTGAAATTTTTAAAATCATGCGCGATGCGTTTCTGCGAATTGCGCGTGTTCTACGAGTAATTGCAAGTAGTTGCAAGTAGTGTAACATACAACCACAGTGGGACCAGAATTTAGTTCGATAATATAATCATTTATGATATTCGATTTGAGAGCTGCAGGAGAAGAATATTTTGAGGTATCTGACAAAGGTAGAATAAATTTTTGCAATCGCTTTTTTAGGTGATAATTATTCGCTTTGAAGTTGTTCTTTAATGTTTTTAATTTCACCGAGAGCGAACAGAATGTCGCCGATAAATAAAACCAGCAAAACAAACAGAAACTGTGCCACTCGTTGGCCTGAAAATGTTTTACATTTTCCGAGCACGCCTACGAGTATATAAAATCACATTTTGGAGAACGAATAAAATATACCTAAAGGACAATTCTTACGCTTGGAAGTAGTGACTGATAGCTCTTCGGCGCGATATTATAAATTGTATAGACATTTAACAGTTTGAGCCTTGGTAGTTCAGATATCCGGGCACTGACTTTCTATTCAGTTTACTCAAACGGCGCCAGCACCAATGAATTTGTTTATTTTAAGTGCTGTGTTATCACGTGCTCAGCGGTGAAGGAAAACGATGAAAAGTGATGAGAATACCTACATATTTTCGAAATATTAACAAAAAAAATATTTCAAGGATATGTACGACCACCATCATATGATGAAAATATTTTCAATGTGGGTTCCGAATAGTAGAAATTTAAGCGCTAATTTGCCACATTCACAGCGGTGAGAAAGGGCAGTATTTCGACGGCATATTTAGTCTATCAATCCAGAGAGGGCCGTGTGGCAGGCTCTAGCAACTATGCCGGGGGTGGAGAGGAGTGTCGGTATTGCGGTGCGCCGTTCCCCCTATCCTCCGCGGCCGAAACGTGGTGAGCGGCGGAGCCACAGACCAGGGCCGCCGCTGGGGGCTGGGAGTCTTGCTGCTTATTAGCACTGGCTCTCCTGGCTCCCATGGCCCCGGTCAGAAAACTCGAGGGAGTTCGTTGGCCGTGAAAATGGGGCCGAGTAGGAACATGGAGGAGAGGGGAGTTGCTCCCCGTGAGGGGGCTGCTAAGGCGGCCAGCGCTGACAGGGACCCTGCCAATATTCGCCTAGGTGTAACATCGTGAAGGTTTTAGTCGGTGCGAGTCCGACATAACCCGCTCTTGCCCCCGCGAGGGCGGGTATGCGTAAGCATTTCTCCCACGTCAACAAAAAAAAAGGCTTTAGCAACTATGCCCTTTCCAGTGTACTTGGGCACACCGAGTAGAGGAGGCCTTTGCCTAGGCGAGGTATCCATGTATAAATATAGTTGCTTTTAGTAATTCAAAACCCAAAAATCTTTGTTCGAGAACTGTGGTATGTTAAGAGTGCACAGTCGAAAGTTCCAGACTATGGTAAATTAAAATGCCAAAATAGCTAAATAACACCGAACAAAAAAAATTTTTCTTTATCCTGCCTAATTCCCCATGTGTTGTTAATAGCATTGGGTAAGATCTTTTACCACCGACCGCCTCCCTGAAGGCAGCCCTACTTGGGAACAAATACCCAGAACTAAAACAATTATCAGAACGTAGAACTATGTCTACGCATTAACTGGCAGGCTTAGATGCGTGGCATAACTTTAAGAGCAGACGTCTCCTGGTAATCTTGATCATTATATAATCAGTGTAAAACACACGCGCGATTTCTAATGCAGTATACTTAGCTTAACTCCAAATTTAACGGTTCTTCGGATACTCAGAAAAGCTTATATCATGAGTCATGACAAATGTTTGCTTGTCAATTTCATCGTTCACATACCGATATGCGTTGTTGCCACGGTCGCTAATGTCTGATGAGAAGAGTGTAAACCCAGTCGTCTTCTTAATCGGACACTCTTGGCAGAGTGGTCGTGGCTGTCGATGGACAGGATTGCGTCTCGTCGTCGCTGTTCGCTTCCAGGGCAGCCGCACGTCTTGCGATGTTCCTCCATTGGAGGCGGCTGTTAGGAATGCTTTCGTAGTGCTGGTGATGAGGTCAATTCAGCGCGTGTGGGCTCGACTTCGAGGTCTTTTGCCTTCTACACGGCCTTGAATGACAAGTCTCTCCATAGAATCTTCCTTTCTAGAGATGTGCCCAAAGAACTTGAGAATTCGTAGTTGGACAGTCGACGAAAGTCTATTTTGTATATGAAGTTCTTTGAGGATGGAAATATTAGTCCCTAAACGCTGTCCACGGAATTTTCAACAGTCGTCTCCAACACCACATCTCCAAGGCATCGATTTTCCGATGATCTTGTAATCTAATCGACCATGTTTCAGCCTCATACAGAAAGATCGGAAATACCAGACATCTCATTAGTCGAACCTTTGTATTCTTGGTTATACGTCTGTCTTTCCAAATCTTCCCTAATCGCTCTACTGCTGACCGTGTGATAGCGCATCGACGCTTGATCTCGTCTTCAGAGCCACCGAGGTTGGTTATAGTAGAGCCGAGGTAAATATATTTACCTTCAGAGCTATAGCTCTGAACTACTTCGCAGTTTGCTATACGCGGGACTCCTTGCGTACTGTGCTCAGCCCGGTCTACTATCATGATCTTCGTCTTATCTATATTTATAGCAAGACCGAAGTTGGCACTGGTGGATTCAAGTCGAGCCAGCAGCTCTTCCAAGTCTTCTTTTGTTCTTGCCAGAAGCGTAGTATCATCAGCGTATCGTAGGATATTAATCACTCGTCCTCCAACTGAAACACCTTTATCCCACCTTCCAGAACGATTCTCAACCCAGTCGTAGCCACTACTAAACTATCACCGTATTTACTAAAATCCTTTCTTAACTTTTTTCGGTATGAATGGTATTCACTGACAAAATCGACATTCATACCCCGTGTTTTCGGATAAATTACACCAGAAAACAAGGGGGTATATCTTATGTATGTCACCCTGTCATTCGCAATTTTTTAATATGTACGGATTGGAAATGAAGCCTTGATGTATCCCCGTACAAGCGCCGGGGGCCCTCTAGGATAATCCGCAAAACAAGTCAGATATTGCACGTCTTCAACGGGCGGATCTCCGACATTTGTTTACGCACAAACACGACACTTACCTACTTTATCCGAAGGTGACTTATAAGCCGTCCGTGATATTGCATAAAGGGGATGCGAACATTTTCGCCAATTTAACAGAAAATGTGTGATAGGAATATTTATGACCGAAAAGACTAGGTTTACAAACAATTACAACAACGAAAAAAATAGATTCAGGCCGGGACGATATAATAGGAGGCGCTTTTGTCTCACTTGAATCCAAATACCACCTGTATTTGGATTCAAGTGAGACTGCATCAGTTAAGTTATGATTATCAATTGTATTAATTGCTGATTTACCACGTGCTCTGCTGTGAAAGATAACATCGTGTAGAACAAAGATGGCCCAACCAGTTGCAATGACTTGAATGTATTTGAAATAAACACAACACACCACTGTTTTGATGCTAAGTTGTGCCGACAAGAGCACTACATTTTTTTTCATTACAGCATCGCATCCATCCGTATCTTCATTAAAGATTCAGATCGGCAGCGAGCTCGGGAAAGAATCGCGTTTAATTAAAACCTCGATATTCGCGCCGTTGCGAGGGAATGAACGCAACCAGAAAGTAATTCAAGTGGAAACGGGGCCCTTCAAAGAACTTTTATTTTCCTTATTAATTCCATATTGCAACGTCAATAAAGATAACCCATGATACATTAGATAAAACGCAATCTCGTAGTTTTGAATAGCTTTTAAAAATTTTGCATAACATAAAGTACTCTTGTTCTGTAGTAAAAAAGCCGAATATTAACAACTCTATAACAGAGAATCCACGAATATAACTGAAAACGTGATCAAACAGCTTTCATGGGCCAAGTAAATCCTTCTAGGTGCAACACCGATGCAAAGTGACACCTTAAGCGAAAAAAGATATTATTCACGGCAGCTAACAGATGATAAGCAATTAAGTTATTTAGCAATTTTCTATATAAACATGTTTTACTATATTATTAAAGTTAAGCATTGTGGTTGCTTTACAGCATCGAAATATTAACTAACCTGTTGAATAAAATTTCGGTTCAATATGCACATTTTTTTTCATTTTCTCTTTCAATTCGGTTACTTATTTAAAATGTTCCCACGATATATTTTTACATTAATGTAAATAACAAGGTCCAAATTTCACATAAAAAAGGTCCGTTTGTAATAATGCCCTTAGGAAAACCGTCTTTAGGCGCGAGCTCGCTGCCCGCGTGTGACTCGCACCAAACGCCCGCCCAGCGAAACGCCGTTGTCACCGCTCGGCGATTGTCGCTCAAGGCGACACGTCCCACTTCCGATGCCGCCGCTATTAGTGGCCGTGACTGGCGGCTTTTACGCGAAAACATTGTATGGGAATATGTAAAAGCCATTTCACGGCTCATCGCAGAGTTTAGCACTCCGCAGCAGAAATCAAAACTTAATAGGACATAATTACGTAGGTAGGTCGAAAGGGTAATTGTGACTGGGAAGGTCACAAGTTGTAAGGTGACAAGCATGCCGTAGAAATGTCTATACCGTCCGGTTTAAGGAATAGGTAAAAATAATGTTGAAAAACAACAAGCTCTCCTCGCTTGTTGTTTTTCAACAGCTATCATCACAAATATCATGATATTGTACAGGGATCTTGTATAAAAACAAGACAAAAACCAAAAATTCTTCTTTTATTTTTAAGAAAGAGTAGTAACTTACTGCGCATATAGGTGTGTCCCCCCCCCCCCCCCCCCCCTTAGGCAAAGACATTCGAAAATCAAACAGTGCACCATGCGGATTGGTTGAGTGGTCTTTCACATATTTTCCCAGTTATTTCATACATATGCAGGTTTCTCGACCAGGTTTTCCTTCCCTGCCCAGTTCGTTGGTGGAACAGCATTTACAAATCTCAAAAAAAAAAAGAATCCATTGGTGCCTCAGTAGCGCAAATGCTAAGTCATTGGCATCGGTTCGAACCGAGGCGGTCGTAAAAAAAACTATCCAACACTATTAAAAATATGATTCACATGTTTTACCGACCTACGTAGTTGCCATAATGGCAAGAGGAAGAATATTTGAACACAGGTCGCTCGTGTATACTGAATAAGTCTCCGCCCTTCACCACTAACCACGGCACAGCAAACTAAGCCTTAGTTATTGGTCAAAGCCGAGCTTGAAAACTTACGAACTTTCATCGTAATGGGTTGAGTTGGAATCTGCAGGCCGAAGCGTCCGCGCTTAGTGCCTTACGTAAATTTATTAATTTGTGCAGATTCGAGGGGTGTTCAATGTATTAATATTAATGTATGTTAATTGTAATATTAGTATTAATTAATATTTACGGTGGAAGGGCCATGCAGCAGCATCGGCTGTTGCACGAATGGGCAGGCTCGTCCGGGTAAGTACCACAACTTCACAGAAGACCGGCGTAAAGTGGAAGTATAATACTTTCGCGTTTCGTCTAGTGAGTGAGGTGGCCGGCGCCCAATTTTCAAAAGGTTGTCAACGCATATGCAACCCTCGGGTGTAGCAGATGTCTATGGGCGGCGGTATTCACTTAACATCAGGTGAATCTGCTCGCTTGACAACATTTAACATTAAAAAAAATATTCTCGGTTATATGGTGATATGAGGAGGGTAATTAAATAATCTCCTTAGTTAAAGGCATTTTTAGGGCATAAATATAAAATTTCATTTAATTGTCACCGTTTATATTCAAGACTGAGCCGTGATAGCTCAGTGTCCGGGCGCTCGCCTTTAATTCAATATACTCGAGCAACTCGAGTTCGATTCGATTCGAAGTTTTTAAATTTAAGTGCTGACTTATCACGTGCTCCGCGGTGAAGGAAAACATCGTGAGGAACCCTGCATAATTTCGAGATAATAAAACAAAAATATATTTCGAAGATTGTGAAGTCCGCCAATCCGCAGTGGGGCCGCGTGGTGGACTATGCCCGGATACCCTCTGTATAGAGGAGGCCTTTGCCCAGCAGTGGGACATGTATAGGCTGTTAGTTTACTTTACTTTACTTTACTATATTCAAGACTAATTGACCCGACAAACATTGTTTTGTCATATAAATTATTTGTAGGGAAGTTGTGTATCGGAACACAGAAAAAGAATTTTCGGAACGCACGCATAAAATGTTTCACAGGTAAGAACACTTTGTATGGGGAAAATAAAATTGTTGCTATTTCGATTTTCCATGCAATTTTTCCATCAATTCTCATCGCTTAAGCCCCTGGACTACCACAAATATTTCAAAACCAAAATTAACCAAATCGGTCCAGCCATACAGAGTTTTAGCGAGACTAACGAACAGCAATTCTCATTTTTATATATCGATTTTATATATCGAAGATAGCAAAAAAAAGCAACTACGATGACGACTGAAAAGAATCGAGCGCGACGCTCGATTCTTTTCAATCGTGTCAGTCTTGTGATTAAATTCCAAATATTAAAAAGTTATTCACGAAGAAATGGTGGCTGTTTGTCTAGATTCTGCTCCTTCATTATCTACTATTCAGAAATGGTCTAGTGAATTCAAACGGGGTGGAGAGAGTATTGAATATGACAAACGTTCCGGTGGGCCGATTAGTACCACTACTGAAGGAAACATCAAAGTCATTGAGGAACTTGTAGTCGAAGACTCTTGTGTAAGTGTGAAAACATAAGCAGAAAGGACTAAGCTATCCGTGGGTATCATTCACACTATCCTCCATGAGCATCTGTCAAAGGTCAGTGTAAGATGCGCGAATGCTCACGGTGCTTCAGAAGCAAATGCGAGTTGAGTGTTACAAGGAGTTTTAGGAGCTCTGTGGCATAGTATTTTCTTATAATATATTCGCATAGTATTTTCGAGCTAATCGTTACCGGTGATGAAACGTGTGTTCAATGATCCTAAGAGCAAGCAACAATCCATGCAGTGCCATAGAAGAGGCTGTGTCTTAACCCACCAAAGTAGTTTAAAATCACCCCATCCGACGAAATTCATGGCCACATTGTTTTGGGATTCTATACGAATCTTACTGATTACGAGTAGTAATGCTGCATCTTACGCAACCATCCTACGTACATAATTTAAAGGCGGCTATAAAAGAAAAAACGACCGTGAAAACTGATCGCAGGTATCTTGCTTCTTAACGATAAGGCGCCGGTTAAAAAAGGGCGCGTTGCCAAGGCAGCCGAGCGTTATTGCAGATTTGAAGAAATCAATCATGCACCCTACAGCCCGGACTTCGCCCCTAGTGATTACTTTCTGTTCCCCAATCTTAAGAAAGATCTTCAAGGTAAGCATCCAACCGACGATGAAGAGTTGAAGGACTTTACTTTTCCGATCAAATAGTCCCCCTCATCACCTGAATGCACTTATTCAGGTGATGAGGGGGACTACATTGACAAATAAATTTTAATCAGAATTTTCTGCTTATGTTTACATACCTATACCGTATATGCATTGAACCCTCGCAGTAACATAATTCGACTGCAACAGCTAGGGCCGGTTGGTTAAATAGTTCCACAGCAAATTAACGCACGTTATAAATAAACAGTAAAGCATAATAATAGTATGCTTCATTGTTTATTTTATTATATAGCATATAATTATAATATATTATATTTATACCAAAACAGTAGAGTCAATTAGTACTTCCAGCCGGCAAGTACAATCCATAAATAAAAAAATTGAATAAATCTCTACGATTTGTTTTTGTTATTCGTGCCAACCCCATTTCCAAATTAATCACACAATTAGCGCAGGTGCGGCCGCTGCGCAACACTAATATTTCACCCAGTCTATGCCTACACTTCGCAACAGCGAAAACGTCCCAATCTATTTTCAAGCTTATAACAAAATGGTAAATTCTTCATTTAACTTATATGAGCAATACTTTATAATGGCCAGAATAAAATATATTCTGAGCGTTAACATTCCGAAGAGAGTATTGTATTACAAATAAAGTTGTATACAAAATTATTATCAGAATTTACTAAAGTATATTGTTTCGTTTATTCTCGTAATCTGTAAATCGTCGAGGGTTGGGTTGTTGGCATTGAAAATTAGACTTGCTTTGATTTGTGTTGGCCCAGATTAGATTCGGTCCATTTTAATGATTTTTGTGAATATTATTCAAATATTAGCTTATTCTCGTCGATTGCCGTTTAGGTTGGAGAAAGATCGTTGTTTTCGAGGCCTTCAAACAAATCGGAAAGTTATGACGCGGCGCCCCGTTGCGGAAATAAAAGTTGGCGCTAGTCCTAAAGGTCGTTTTCACTGAAGCGCCCGAATACATTACTGGCTTGAAGAAGAAGAAATATACATTACTGGCTTGAAGAAGAAGAAATATGTTATATAAATTGAAAGCAAAATATTAGAAAGTTATTGCATTAATTTTTAAAGTAATTGATATCACCCATCAATTTGTTCAACCCCTGTGGGGTTGCAGAGTGTGCGTTCTTTTTTAAATAATGGAGGTGACAAAGCAAGCGGTTCACCTAATGGTAAAGTCATTTCTGTCTCCTATGGATATCCGAAACAAAAGATTATTACAGATAGTATTACTTCCCCGAACATTCTTGCACAATCGAGGCGCTACCATATTAGATACATAAGTTCTTATTTCTTCTTCTTTAAATTTAGTGTAAAATGATTAATTCGTGGCAATATGCATTTATTAAATAAGCGCGCAATGTATATATATTGCAACGGAATAACCGTTGGCTAGCATGAGCCGTCGGCAGGGGGCACGTCGGGGGCATTTTTCACCTCCGAGACAGTAATTAAATTCCTGCAGCATTCCGCAGCGCGCAACTGAACGGAACACATTGCTTCACACCTATTTCGTGGCACTGGCTTCCCGTTGTGTTGTGGAGACGACAATAACAACATCAATCTGTTCACATTTCGATTGGCATCGTCTAACAAAATAAATTCGGTTACATCATTATATGGATACATAAAAATTAGAAAATTGGTCACGTTAATCGAATTGTGGTTTGAAAATACGAAAGGATTGCCTTAGCAAATAGGACTTCACGTAATACAGAATCAGTTTTGTACAATTTGTGTATGCAAATAAAAGCCACATTTTTCAAAGAAAAAGAAGTACTAAAGAATGAACTGAGTGAAATACCTTCTGCTAGGTTGGACGGGAGATACAGGTGAAGCTATCTTATAAGAACAGTCTTAATGGCGCGAAAGTGTTAAAGATCGCTTTTCAAGACTTCTGTTACATCAAAAAGTATCATGAAAGCTACTCTAGCTTATAAATATCTCTTCTTTATTTATCGCATTATATGAATTTGAATTTTTATATTAGTATTATGAAGTTTCTGTTGCTTTTCTTTGGAGACATTTTTAAGTTCGAATTACGTAAAGGACCTTAGGTGAGTACATTACATCTCAAATGATCACTTTCACAACATCATTATAAGATTGTGAAGATACAAAACATAAGGA